AAGGTGTAGTGGTGCTAGGTGGGTGTAGGGGTGCTAGGTTGGTGTAGGGTGCTAGGTGGTGAGGGTGCTAGGTTGGTATAGTAAGAATAGGTGTAGTGGTGCTAGGTGGGTGTAGGGGTGCTAGGTGGATAGAGGGGAGGGTGCAGGTGGGTGGGCAGGTGGGTAGGGGTGCAGGTGGATAGAAGAAGGTGTGGTGCTAGGTGGGTGTAGGGGTGCAGGGGTGTGGTGCTAGGTGGGTGTAGGGGCAAGCAGGTGGGTGTAGGGGTGCTAGGTGGATAGAGGGTAGTGGTGCTAGGTGGGTGTAGGGGTGCTAGGTGGGTGTAGGGGTGCTAGGTTGGTATAGTAAGCACAGGTGTAGTGGTGCTAGGTGGGTGTAGGGGCAGTGGAGGGGTGCTAGGTGGGTGGTGCGGGGAGAAGAAGGGGGTGCTGGTGAGGGGTGCTAGGTGGTGTAGGGGTGCTAGGTGGGTGTAGGGGTGCCAGGTGGGTGTAGGGGTGCTAGGGTGGGTGTAGGGGTGCTAGGGTGGGTGTAGGGGTGCTAGGTTGGTATAGTAAGTAATAGGTGTAGTGGTGCGGTGGGGTGGGTGCTAGGTGGGTGAGGGTGCAGGTGGGTGGTGCCAGGGGGGTAGGGAGGTGGGGCAGGTGGGGGGGTGCTAGGTGGCATAGGGACAGGTGTAGTGGTGCTGGGGGGGTGCGGTGGTGTAGTGGTGCAGGTGGGTGGGGGTGCTAGGTGGGTGTAGGTGCTAGGTGGGTGTAGGGGTGCTAGGTTGGTGTAGGGGTGCTAGGTTGGTGTAGGGTGCTAGGTTGGTATAGTAGGCACAGGTGTAGTGGTGCTGGGTGGGTGTAGGGGTGCTAGGTGGGTGTAGGGGTGCTAGGTGGGTGTAGGGGTGCTAGGTGGGTGTAGGGGTGCTAGGTGGGTGTAGGGGTGCTAGGTGGGTGTAGGGGTGCTAGGTGGGTGTAGGGGTGCTAGGTGGGTGCAGTAAGGTAGAGGGCAAACTCGAGCTGTTTACTTTGTATACAATAAACACCCGATACAGCCCTCGCTGGTCCCGTGGCCCTACACTACGTTAATTGCTCTACCTGCTGTAAATGAGCTGGGCTGTTCCTAGGTTGAGTTTTATGACAACATTGTGTGCACAGGTGTGTATGTGTGTGTGTGTAGAAGGGAAGTTAATGGGTGGGGATGGTGGGGAAGTTTAGGAGTAGATTGGGGTGAGCGGGAGGGGGGTTAGGGGGTCGGGTGATTGGGTGGTTAGAAGATGACGTTAGGGGTGAAGGTGTGGGAGATGGACAGATAAATATTATATCATATTTCTCCCCGAGGGGGCTAGTTTATTGGGCACCCCCTTGTCATTCTGTGCAAGGTGAAGCGCAAAAGCGTTTACAGCGCCCATCTGGGAAGCATGCGTAGTTCAATAAGGGCGTAAAAGCCTGAAGGGTCATGGGTTTTGTCAGCAAGTTATATAAAGTGACAGAATGATGAGTGTGTGTGTGGGGGGAGTTCCCGGTACAATTCATCTGTTTATGGCAAAGCCTGGCAAGTCCCTAATAACGTCAAGTGCCAGGCCTGTGACTAGGAGGAGGGATATCTGGTCAGGGAGGGAAGAGGTGTTGGTAACAGTATCATCAGTGGTTTGTATGTAAGAAAGTCAGGTGTTACCCCGGGAGTTTGGGTAGGGCCCCACCGGTGCCCCACAATCCCCCCACCCGGTGACACGACACAGGATCATATCCCTCTTCCACGAATTTACCAGCCGTGTTGAAAAACTATTTGATACACTCTGTACCGCCATCTCCAACCTACACAGACTACCCCTGCCTCCAGCTGCTTCCCAGTCACCCCCCTCTTCTGGTTTGACACAACCTGGTAGCCCCCCTGTGTGCCCCTCATGCTCACGGCCTACTCCACCGCCGCCTGGCACCACTGCTGGGGTGGCACCTACCGAGCCAGCCCCAGTGTGCCCTGAAATGAATTGAATTGAATTGAATTGAAACAGTTTATTTATCCAGAAAAGCACAGATATAGAGTGGATAATAATAACGCTATTAACATGGTTGAGCCAGTTGAGAACCTGAGCTCTCTTTTAGGCACCTGATATATACTATACATTTATCTCAAGGAAATATTATGTAACACTTAGTATCATCTGGAATAGTACAATAGCATGGTGGTAATAAGAACATCTCATAATGTTACCACAGTTATCACGTCAATATTTATTTATATATATATATATATATATATATATATATATATATATATATATATATATATATATATATATATATATATATATATATATATATATAAATTACAGTGGAAGCAGTACAACATGGGTTGTACAGTATGAAGGTTGAACAAGAGGACAGAGCTGTCAGGATTATGTCTAGTTGGCAAATATATTTATTGCAATGGTAATTTCTTCTCTATTTACATGATAATTTCCGATAAAACGGTTTTGATGGTACAATAAAAGTTGGTACTGTAAATATTGTAGGTGTTACAAGAAATATTAATGCTTAGACAAAAGATATTTTTTAAGAGATGATTTAAAGGAAGGGAGTGTTGTCTTTGCTCTGATGGGTGGGGGTAAGTTATTCCAGTGTTCCACACCTTCACACCTTGATATTTTATGGAGGTCTGGGACTGAGAGGAGCGCATGGGGGGTGGTCTTAGTAGCTCTGGGTGCCTTAAGTTGTATCTCTGATTATTCCGGAACTGGAAATAATTATTATCAAGCTGCCCCCGTGCCACTTCCCGCCCCATCACCACGACACATGGTGCCTCATTCTGTCCACCCACCGCAAGCCGTGCCTTTTTTTTTTTAGAGAAAGGAGGGGTGAAAGAATATTAGAGGTGGGGGAAGGAAGTTATTGTTCGGAAATTGAAGAAATTTAGGAGGAGGTAAGAGAGGGCGGGCTGACTGCCTAGCTAAGCTAATAGTGCGTTAGGGTTGTGTCATGGGTTAGTTATTGTCTGTCGGTACAGGCACTAGACATCCTACCCTGTCCCATATATGGGTGTTTTGAGGGCCTTATTTCATATTCCGCCGACCCTACTGGCGGATGCTGGTCTCAGGAGGTTGTCTAATGCCTGGCCGTGTAGATCAGGGGTGGTAATGAACCTTTTGAGATTTGGTAACTTTTTGGGAACCATGTATGGTTGTTGTCGTTATCTGGTGGGAGTCTTAGAAGGAGTTCTTGCTCTGATCGTTCTATCTTTTGCCAGATTCTGCTGGCCAGGGTGTGCAGCTGCTGGTTGATGGGTTTTATTCTCAGGTCTCTATGTATCTCGGCTGTGGTTTTGGTGAAGGGGTATCTTTCACCTGTGACGAATCTTAGGGCTTCATTTTGGACCACCTTTAATTTCAATATTTGAGTGGTGCTCATAGTATGAAGAGGTGCTGCTGGGTAAGTTAATATCGGTATGATAAATGATGTCATCAGGCGGAGTTTTATCTTCTCAGGAAGCGCTTTAAAGCGGTACAGTTTTCTCAGCTCTCTTGCCTTTTCCTTCCTGGTGTGGACATGATGGGAGTAACCTGTCGTGGATATATGCAAGCCCAGGAGGGTGCCTCTGCCTTTGTATTCTATCTGGGCATTATTGGTTACTAATGGATGAGTTTTCCGTCTGCATAAGGGTATCACTGTAAATTTCGGGAGACTGGTTTGGATTTTCCATTGTTTTTCGTAATTATTTGCCCTTTCTAATTCCCACCTGGTGTTGTCGACCTGTAACGCTTGCGATTTTCCTTGATGTGTTGTTATTTGAGTGATGTCATCTGCATACATAATATCTTCGTTACCTATTCTAGTGGGAGGCGGGGTGTCACTTGTGTCGATAATATATAGAGTGGGGGAGAGGACGCTCCTCTGAGGGACTCCACTCATGAGTGGGAAGGTCTCTCCTGTGTGTTGTCCTACACTCAGTCTGGCATTTCTGCCGTCAAGAAAGTTGCAAAGCAACTTTTCACTGTTGGTGGGAAGTCCGAGTTGGAGGATCTTATATTTTAGACCGTCATGTCAGACTTTGTCAAATGCCTTCGCTACATCCCGGAGAGTTAGATTACATTGTCTACCACTCGCCGCGGCTCTGGCTATATTTTCACGTGCCAGGGCCTGCTCATGTCTCTGAGCTGTCTCCACCAGGGCCCCCTATTGGACCCGAGGACACCACCCCCGGCTCCCCGTGCCCCACCGGCATGCCGGCACGTGGGGTCCATCCACTCCAGTTCTCCGCATCAATGGACCACCAAAACGACATGCACGTGCGCTACGCATCTACGAAGCCGACACTGCCGACGTACACGCCATCACAATCACACTAAAAGGTATGTCCCTCAATATTGTCAATGCCTATGTGCCTCCCTCCACCTCTAGATAAAGCCCCTATGAGTGATATAGGTCAAGCGTAAACAGGGCTGCCTGCCTAGTATGGGTCAATAGGGCCCCTACAGCTATTATTGGTGGACCTTCTTGCTACCTGTCATTCTGAACTCTTTTATCAATGCAGTGACTAAACCCACCAAAGAAGCTGCCACTCTGGGAGATCATATTGCTTGGTCGAATATCACACCTAACAATGTTGTGAATGGAGTAATTTATACCAAAATCTCAGATCACTTCCCAGTCTTTGCCGTGTATAAATCCACAGAAATTGACAATGATAATGACCCTATTGATGAAAAACAAAACACTGACTACACACACACACACACGCGCGCGCACCGCACAGTGTTGTGTGCTTTATAGATAAAATAACCATCTCTTGAAAATTATTATTAATAGCTGCGGGTACTTGAGAGACACCGCTTAGGAATCCCGAACCTATTGAGGTTCTCCTACCCTCACTGCTCCTACCTAGCACCCCTCTAACATGGCACCCCTCCTACCTGGCACCTCTCCTACCTGGCACCTCTCCTACCTGGCACCTCTCCTATCTGGCACCTCTCCTACCCGGCACCCTTCATTTGAGACAACTGTCAATAGTGCCAAGGACTTACTTTTAAAACAAATTTTTAATTCCATGTCCTCTTGTTATCTGCGCCTGTATCTCCGTGTTGATACTTTGGTGCATCCACTGTGTCCCGGGCATCAGATGACAGCAGAAATACAGTGTAACATCACCACAGGACAACACCAGCCGAACAGCACTAACAATATAGGTTTAAGTGGTGGCTGGGATTTGGAAAGACGAAGGAAGGACCTCCAGTGACACACATCTTGCACGGTGCTCGAGGCGAGAGACACTAAGTGAGCAGCACACGCACACTGCCAGGCAGGATCCCTCGCCGCCACTCACTGGCTGTTGTAGTGATACCAACAGCTGGTGTAATCAAGTGTTACGGAAAAGAAGAGGGAGGTGGGGGGGGGGGTGAATTGCTTAATCGTAGAGATATGGCTGGGGTCTTGACTTGGGGCTGCCATAGTTACGTGTTCTTTGCTGTCAACGTCATGTGCGGGGAAAATTCAAAATACAGCATGGTGAAAACGAGGCAGGGAAAGAAGCAAAGAGAAGAAAGTAAATTACGAAATTAGGATGAAGTTAACAAGAGAAGTGATAAGGTGTGAGGGGGGAATGAAAAGAAGTTGGTACGCATGGCTGGCTGTAGATACCAGATAACACACTCCTGCATGGCAGTGAACAGTGACATAAACCACACGAATCATACCTATATAAACTGCGAATGAATATGATGGATTTTTTTGTGTATGAACCTCTGTCCTGCGTGGCAGTTTGAAGTGATACCACCCTTAGTGTCAAGACCTGACTGAATTACTCAGAATAGGCAAACTGTACTCCAAGCTTTGTCAATAATTTTTTTAAACTAATTAAACACACTCACGGGGCGAAACACGGGCGGGCTTTGGTGCCAGGGGGAAAAACGTTCTGTAATAACACTGCTAGGCGGGGAAGGTTGCTGCTCACACACACACACACACACACACACAAACACACACATTAACACCAACACATACACAGCAACACGCGCACACACAAACACACACACACACATACACACACACACACATACACACACACACACAAACATACACCCAAACACACGCACACACACACACACACACACACACATGCCACACAACGTAAGGACCTAGAAAGGGTGCAAAAGAGGGCACGTAAGATTATTCTCTCCCCTTCCTACTCCACACATCAAGAAGCGCTCAACACACTGACCCTCTCGGCTCTCTCTGACCATCACCACGACCTCATCTGCAAATTTGGTAAGAAGATTCTGCACCATCCTCGACATCTTCTCCTACTACCACCTGAGATCCCTAGCCCGAGAATTGCTGTTTGACACCACAACCGCATCCAGCCCATACGTGCACGAACTGATCCCTATAAGAACAGCCCAGTCCCAACCATTGTAAAAATTATCAATAACTTGTAATAAACCAGTGTATTCACTCCCAGTAAATACTACTTCTGCACTGCCACTATGTTGAAATGCCCTGTAGTTTCAGCTTTTCCCCGTCTAGTTATTATATATCTTATTTGTATCACTTATGTTACTTGTATATTATTTGTAATTCGAAACCCATTCCCCAAATATGTAACTGTATATTTTCAGCCTTCTGGCTGCCAAGCTCTTTCAATAAACCGTTAATTATTATTATTATTATTACACGCACACGCACACACACACACACACACAACAAAGCAATCGACCTCTTTCCCTATTATGCAACTGTATATTTTCAGCTTTTTGGCTGCCATGCTCTTTCAATAAACCGTTAATTATTATTATTATTATTATTATTATTATTATTATTATTATTATTATTATTACACACACTACCTCCCCCAATAGCCACACCTTCGCCACCATTTATTTACCTTAATATTAACTATCCTAATACATAAGCAACTATCCTATCTGTGTTAAATACTACTACTACTACTACTACTACTACTTTTTTTTTTTTAAACGTGGCCTCCAGCCTCCCCCAATAGCCACACCTTCGCCACCATTTTATTACCTTAATATTAAATATCCTAATACATAAGTAGCTATCCTATCTGTGTTGAATTAGTTGAGCCGCAGATCTTTGCGGCATTCAGTGACTGTAGCCTCATAGTCAAATCTACTACTACTACTACTAATACTTCTGTAAAACACCGTTAGCAAGTACCGGGAAGGTCTAGATTCTAGACCTCTAGAAGGTCTGCTCGCCAGGTTAGGTCGTGGAGTCGTGTCGTATTGCGTCTCTGTAACAACACGTGTTGGCATCTGGATCTTCGTTGTTAATCGGCGGCAATTGGACATAAAGGCCGTCATAGTGAAGGGAATGTGTAAATCGATGTAACATTTGTAATGTTATTTGCGATTATATAATTAAATATACTCCCTACTGAACTGGAGTATATAGGCCGTGGGGACACAACCATAAAACCCAAAGACTACAGAAGAGAAGGTCAACCCGCCTGCAGATGGGTGGAGCGTTGTTGACGTCAGCTAGTAGTCTCCCATGCTACCTCACTTACCTCTCACCGCTTATAAGCAGACCATTTTATGGTTCTACTTACTATATACTCTTAAAGACACCAATCAGTGCAGTGGGTGATACAGAATATACCTGTATGTGCAGTACCAGAGAAGGAACGTTGAAAATAAAAATCAATGCATTTTAGTTATATATGTATTTAAATAAATGCAGCTTACGATAGGTAAATTATAACTATATGTGCAGTTCCCTACAGGAGATCCTTTCCTCCCTGTTGTTAAATCTGACTACGACTCTGCAAAACTGCAGGAAGATCTAAAAAAATTTTTTGCATAGCCTGAAAAATGGTAGATGAAATATAATGTGGACAGATGTAAAGTACTTAGTCTAGATGTAAAAAGAGAAAACCGGTATCAGATGAACAACATTGATATAGAGAAATCTGACTGAGAAAGATTTAGGAGTAATAAGAAGGAATCTTAAACCAAGACAACAATGCGTATTTGCAAGAAACAAGGCTAACAAAGGACTTGGGTTCTCACAAAGGCGTGTTAGTTACAAGACTAGCTAGGTTATCCTAAAACTATATCTTGTACTTGTGAGACCTCATTTGGATTACGCGGTTCAATTCTAGTCACCGTACGACAGAATGGATATAGAATCCCGAGAAAGAATTCAGAGGAGAATGGCAAGACTAATCCCGGGCATTAAGAACCTTGAGTACAGAGACAGGTTTAAGCATCTTAATTTGCACTCCCTCGAGAGACGTAGAGTGAGGGGCGATATGACAGAGGTGCATAAATGGAAGTCAGGGCTAAACAGAGTTGATATAACAAAGGTACTCAACTATCCAACCAGGAGCGAACTCGTAACAATGGTTTTAAAGTAGACAAATTTAGATTTAGGCTCGAGATAGGTAAACATCGGTTTGGAAACAGAGTAGTGGATGAGTGGAAAAAGTTACCAAACATCATCATTAACTCGAATATGCTGGGTAGCTTCAAATATAGGTTGGACGGATAAATAAACGATAGGGGTTGGGTGTAAACGGGACTGTACAGTATGGGCCAATAGGCCCATTGCAGTTTCCTCTATTCTTATGTTCTTATTTGTCAGGGTAAGTAGAAAAATGCGGCGATTGAGTGGATACAGCGCTCGCCTCCTGTCTTAAGGGCCATTGGTCCAATCCCAGAGCCCCGCAAGTCCACTCATCTGTAAATAAGTATACTTACCTTTACGGTTGGGGAACTGAAAGTGGTCGATTGCAGTGCCGACCATGTTGCCTCCCTGAGTCACAGTGTGTTGTTTGTCCCTTCTGAGCGGTCAAAACTCCGACCTGAGGCTATGATCATTATGGAGTGGGCATCCGATAACTCTAGATATGAACATTATAAGTACAGTAAGTGTTATCTTTTTACAGAACATTACTCTTAACTCGGCCCCGGCCCTTCTGTAATATAGATGTGGTCACTTGTACACATTCTAATCCGTCTCGGTAAGTGAGGTGAGTGAGTGGCTCTCCTTCGTGTAGAGTGACGTTCGCCCGCAATGAAAACAGGACAAGATAGTAACAGGGGGTTCTGCGGGTTCCTTGTACAGGTACACAACTCTTAATGCTCACTATCAGGGCTTTTGTGAAGCTTCATGTTAGATAGTTTGGTGCTGATATACTGTATACTGTTCTGAGATGCGCCTCAATGCTGTGCCGAATTGCCTTTGTCATGGTCTATTGGCCGCCCCACTATCATATTCAATGCACCCAAACGTGTCCTCCATCTTGAATCATCAAAACAATAGTAAACGTTGGGGTTCGGCTTGTCCTCGGCTTGTCCTCAGTTGGTCTTCGGCTGTCCTCTACTCCTCGGTTGGTCCTCGGCTGGTCCTGGGCTGTCCTCAGTTGGTCTTCGGCTGTCCTCTACTCCTTGGTTGGTCCTCGGCTGGTCCTGGGCTGTCCTCAGTTGGTCTTCGGCTGTCCTCTACTCCTCGGTTGGTCCTCGGCTGGTCCTGGGCTGTCCTCAGTTGGTCTTCGGCTGTCCTCTACTCCTCGGTTGGTCCTCGGCTGGTCCTGGGCTGTCCTGCTATTCTAAAACTCTACACTTATTAATTTAGTTTCTGAACACAGTCAACGTCTCTCCGTTGAGCGTGGCATGTGCGGCGGACCCATCTCTTGAAACTACGATATCTTTTTAACTTGTGCGAGTGTCTCTTGGTTCATATATAAAGGTCTAACTAAAACACTTCCCCTAAGGTGTGTATTTTTTCCATCAAATATTTCACTGTATGATTTTCAAGGAAGAATTTTCATCCATAGTGTTGAATAGTTCCGGATTATCAATGCTCCTTCCTGCCTCCCTCATGCTGCTCTACTTGCCTCCTGTACTAACAAGAAACAGTTATGGATGAACTGTCACGTAATGGCTGGTAACTATAGAGAGAGGTTACCATAGGACCATACCCTTCTCGTTTAGTAGTTTGATGTTGTTTACATATATAGTGGGTCGGGTCTTTAACATATTGGAATAGGAAATTGCCTCTAGATATAAAAGGTTTGTAGAATTATTAACGTCTTGTGATATATTGTCAGTGTTCATTATGTCTCTGTGTTGTTTATTAAAGTAAGGGTCTCTCATCTTCCTATGGTTCAATCTACTAAAATTTGGTGAACTGTGAATGTGTCCAGTGAGTGTCTCTGCCCGTCTGTATAATCTTATTAACCATTTCGACTCGTCAAAAACATCTTATCTTTGCCTCTCACTTTACTGGCTCTAAGGTCCCCTCTAGTATCAACGACCACACCTTTCTTAAATTTTGTCTTGGAGGACCTTGTGTTGTGAGGGAACAAGGTGTGGTTGTGAAGAAACATGGCGTGGTTGTGAGGGAACAAGGTGTGGACGTGACGTGTGGTCAAGATTCTTGGGGTGTCACTATGCAGAGGTCTTGTAGCTGGTTGAGGTGATGGAGTGAGCTGAGTGATATGGGCTGAAGGACTGTCAGACACACATTAATTAAAAAAGATTTATTTATATAAAAAAGAACATAATTATATAATGACTAGTTGTCATTCATAAAACTGAGTAAAACACGTTACGGATGCGTGAGTATTGCCAGTACTGTTTATGAGCAGGGAAAACTCTGGTGGGCGGAGCAAACTGCATATTTTCGCTACCTTCCACTACTGAGGCAGAATGGTGGAGCTACGTTAACAATCTGACAATCTTCCACGGTGGGCTGAGTCTGGTCTAGAACTTCCCTTGACTTTCAGGTTTGACGGACCGAACACACAATTGGCGAGATTTGTCATCAAACTGAGAAATGGGTGAGTGAGGTGACTGTAGTGTTGACGAGGCACAAGTTTGTACTGTATACTCGTATACGATGATTTAATTAACTTGTCTTCATCAACCGTCACTGATGATTCGGGAATGAATCGGGATGTGGCCACTCAGAATCAGGGTGTTGCCACTCAGAAAATGTGGCACGTCTCGTGGGCCACCATTCTCGAGTCTTGACTACAGTTGAACACTTGAGCAAACTCTGGTGTGTTCATCATCACGGCATTGATCCTGAAATAAGACACAACCAATGACTTACCAAGATAACCCCATACATCAGTCACAACAGGAGAATACTCGGTCACTATTAACACACAAAGAATGTAAACAAAGGAGCTCACCTCATGTTGTTAGGGAGGCAATGGGAGCTTACCTCATGTTGTTGGGGAGGCAATGAGGAGTTTACCTCATGTTGTTGGGGAGGCAATGGGGAGTTTACCTCATGTTGTTGGGGAGGCAATGGGGAGTTTACCTCATGTTGTTGGGGAGGCAATGGGAGCTTACCTCATGTTGTTGGGGAGATGTTCGTCCAGCTCCATGAGGAAGATCTTTGCCAAGGCTGGGATGACAGCGCAGTACGGCTGAGGGACAGAAACCCTTGTCAGTCAGGTCCACACACTGTACTCACTCACTGCAACACACACACACACACACACACACACACACACACACACACACAAACACACACACACACACACACACTGTAACACTACTTGACCACCGGAGGGTCAAGACCTATCTGGTGCTGCTCTTGTTGTGACAGCTGCCCCGGTAATGTTGGCCCATTCCCCTCGACCCCTCCTCCCCGCCGCGATATCAACATAATCCCTCCAAAAGTGATAATTTCGTTTCGGAAAGGGAGCAGTGTTGAACAGTGATGAACATTGTTTAAGTCAGTGAATTCAACACTAGACAGCACCAGCAGGAGCCGTGATCCACCAGTGAGTTCCACATCCAGAGAAAAGCACCCCTGGGAACCGACCACCATCTTCTGACCAGGCGGTGTTGTGTTAATCAGAACACTCTGGGAACAATCGTGGGTTGGCTTTATGTGACACCACACCACTCTTCCCGGTGTCTCCATGACGACGTGAGGTCCTTCATGTCATCACCCAAGAATGAGCTACAGCACTACGTGAACACCACACCACCCAGTGTCTCCATGACTACGTGAGATCCTTCATGTCAACACCTATGGATGAGTTACTGCACCACATGTCCTACGTGACCTCACGCAGTAGGGCAAGAGACCAGCCTGGGCATCAACTGTAAACTATAATGTGTATGTTCATTTCATGTTCCTTCTCCTTTTAGTAAAGAAAGCTTTTGTTAAAAAAACCACCCAACCCATGTCATTTCTGTCCAATGTATATTTTCAGCCTTTGGGCTGCTGAAAATTTTCAATAAACCGTTAATTATTATTATTTAACTCTTATTACTACTACTGTGCTGTCACTCGGAATCGAGTATGACGATCATCCAGTTATGATACAATAATATGAGTTATTAAGGATGTCACCTTCTTTAGCGAGCTCTGAGGTGACTCGAGAGGCCGATATGGGACCTGCAGGAGGCCGTCCACAGATGTTGCGTGTGTGGAGGGCTACATCTATTGGGGGGAGGGGGGGCGCAGCGTCTTTCCGGCGCTGGCACTTGTCTGCCTCGGTGTGCAGTCAGGCAAACTCGAAAGTATTGACATCTTCTCGTGTAGTGCTCCTCCAAGCGTTACAGTGTGAAGTGATCGTCTCCCAGTTCGATTTGACACTTTCAGGTTTGTCCAAAGACTATAATTTTACCCTTTCCGTTGTCCGCCAGCATTACATTTACCATTCGTTGGATGACTGTAAAGTAGCCGCTTTGGCAGTCTACTGTCGTCCATGCGGGTAACATGGCCAGTCCAACGTTGGTGTTCATGGATAATGGCAGCTTCAATACTCCTACAGTCGATGTCAGCGAGAATACTTGCATTTGATCTCTTATCTTCCCAGCGAACTCGGAGGATGGAACGTGGACTACGTTGGTGAAAGTTTTCAAGTGTCTTGAGGTGCCTCCTATATGTTACCCATGTCTCGCTGACATACTGCAGGGTGGGGAGGACCACTGCTTGATACACGTGCAACTTTGTGGATGATATCAGCTCCCTACAGCTGGAGAAATGGGTATGGAGTCTGCCAAAGGCTTGAGATGCACATCTGATCCGATGTTGAATTTCTTCGTCGATGTCTGCAGTGATGGACAGGTGGGAGCCAAGGTACTGAAATAGGGTAACATTAGAGAGGGTAGTACCGTTAACCTGGATTGCTGATGGAGGTGTGGCTGAACCAAGGACAGGCTGAATGAGAATCTGAGTCTTACATACATTCGCCTCGAGGCCAAAGTGTGCATATGCATCTGCATAGGTGTTCAGGATCTCCTGTAGGTTGTGTTCAGTGTGAGCTTCAAGTGTTAGGTCATCTGCATACTGAAGTTTAGTAATGGAAGCAGCCGACACCTTTGTTCCTGTCTGGAGTCATCTTATGTTGAAAAGTCCCTTCATCTGATACTGTATGTCCACCCTGCCAGATAAATTGGCACTGGCACGAGTAAGGAAGGCATCCTTGTTTTACCCCAATTTGGATGGGGAAGAACTCAGAATGGATGCCACTGTGTAGGACACTGCAATTCATGCCAACGTGGGGTTGCCTCACAATGGCGATGAATTTTGGTGGGCAGCCAAAACGACTGAGGGTCCGCCAGAGGGCTTCCCTGTTGACCGTGTCGAAGGCCTTGGTTAGGTCAATGAAGGCCATGTACAGGTCACAATGTTGTTCACTGCATTTTTCCTGTATCTGGCGGGCAGCAAAGATAATGTCAGTGGTGCCACGTGATGGTCTAAAGACACATTAAGATTCTGGGAGGAAGTTTTCCGCCTTAGGGAGAATTCTGTTTTGGAAAACTCAAGCGATAATTTTGTCAGCTACGGACAGCAGTGAGATCTCACGGGAGTTGCCGCAGTCAGACCGGTCTCCCTTGTTCTTATAAATATTGACGATGGAAGCATCTTTAAGAGCTTGGGGGATTTCCTCCTTTTCTCATATATTCTCCAGGAGAGAGTGGAGACGGCTGGTAAGCAGAGGTCCTCCTGCTTTATACACCTCGTCTGGGATTCCATCAGGCCCTGTGGCTTTGTTATTTTTCATCTGCTTGATGGCAGTAGCTACCTCTTCCAGGGATGGAGGATAGCTGAGGTGGGTTAACTCTGGGTGCTGAGGGACCTGTTGGGTAGTCAGGACATCCACATCTGTAACACACACACACACACACAAAAGTACCTGTGCGGCGGAGACGAAGAACAGCTGTTCGGGTGAGAGTGGTAGGGCAGGTAGGCGGGGCTCCACGTAGTGCCTCTCCACCCAGCGCTGATAGGCTCTGTACGCGTGTCTGATTCCCGCTATGTCCGCCAGGTTCTCATTTAACGTGGCGCTGCTGTCGATCTGTCCAGAGACACAGGACGTATTACAACACTGTCAATTATATAGGTAAATACAGGTTATGTCAGGTTATCGTTAAGGTGGTTAGGTTAAGTTTTGTTAACGTTAGGTTAGCGTTAGTTAGGTTAGGTTAGGTTTTGTAAGCGTTAGATTAAGTTAGCTTTAGGGTAGGTTAGCATTGGTTAGGTTAGATTTGGTTAGCCTTAGGCTAAGTTAGGTTAGGTTAGCGTTAGTTAGATTAGTATTACGTTAGGTTAGCGTTAGTCAGATTAGAATTAGGTTAGGTTAGCGTTAGAGTGGTTAATCTTCAGATGAAATAAGCTTGAGGGTGAATCAAGTGGTAATCCCAAACCTGACCTTAACCAGACATGGACTCCCCCATTACCAAGGAATATCCATTACTCTCTATCACTTCCTTTCCTATTCTCTCTCTCTCTCTCTCCCCCTCTCTCTCTCCCCCTCTCTCTCTCTTCCCTCTTCATCCTCCTCTCCCACCCTCCTCCTCCCTCTTCCCTCCTCAACCTCTTCTCCCCCCTCCTCATCCTTTTCTCCCCTATCCCCACCTCTCTCTCTTCCCTCCCCCACTTCTCCCCCCACACCTTTCTCTCCCCACATCTCCCCCTCTGACTCACATCCATCGCTATCATGGTGTACTGTACAAGGACCACCTCGTAGAAGGCGTGGGCTAGAAGGTTGTGGTAGCAGTCAGCGGTCTCGTTGAGTTTCTGACGGGTCTTGTCACTGAAGGGTCGCGTCAACTCCCCGCGGGCGTCAAACAACATCCCTGAGGTGAAAACGAAGAGAGTTCAGTACACAGGTAGACACAGCCAGATAGGTTGATAGATACGAGTACAGTATAGGCACAGCCAGATAGGTTGATCAGACATATAGACACAGACTAGCCCCTCTCCCTTCCTCCTTCCCTCCCTACCAGATCACACACACACACACACACACACACACACTCACCGGTAAAGTCCATGCCGTGGAAGATCTCATGAGCCATGGCAGTAGCAGCTGAGCCATAATTCATGTACTCTGGTCCCCGTGTCAGGTAGTAGGGCGGCTGAAAGAACGCTTCAGGGAACACTAGGAGATAGAGTAGACGACATGATGGGGGAGAGAAAAAAAAAGAAGGGAAATATTTAGATAGATAATAATAACAATGATTTAAGAGATATTGTAATAATTATAGTTAGGATAGATGTAGTAATGGTATGAATAGGTTATGGGAAGATTATAAGCTTTCTGTTTATTTCCTTTAATGATTTATACACTCTATAGCGCGACTTGCCGTGGTTTGGTTTGGTTATGTTTGGTTTGGTTAGCATTATGTTTGGTTTGGTTAGGTTAGCTTTTGGTTAGGTTAGCTTTTGGTTAGGTTAGCTTTTGGTTAGGTTAGGTTAGGTTAGGTTAGGGTGTCTAATGTTTACGTGGTCCAATTTTTAATAACGGATGAATATTTTAATCCGTATCTATCACAAGAGAATTATCAATGTACTGTACAGGTGTTAGGTGAGTCACTTATACCAATGTACTGTACAGGTGTTAGGTGAGTCACTTATACCAATGTACTGTACAGGTGTTAGGTACCAATGTACTGTACAGGTGTTAGGTGAGTCACTTATACCAATGTACTGTACAGGTGTTAGGTGAGTCACTTATACCAATGTACTGTACAGGTGTTAGGTGAGTCACTTATACCAATGTACTGTACAGGTGTTAGGTGAGTCACTTATACCAATGTACTCTACAGGTGTTAGGTGAGTCACTTATACCAATGTACTCTACAGGTGTTAGGTGAGTCACTTATACCAATGTACTCTACAGGTGTTAGGTGAGTCACTTATACCAATGTACTCTACAGGTGTTAGGTGAGTCACTTATACCAATGTACTCTACAGAGTGTTAGGTGAGTCACTTATACCAATGTACTCTACAGGTGTTAGGTGAGTCACTTATACCAATGTACTCTACAGGTGTTAGGTGAGTCACTTATACCAATGTACTGTACAGGTGTTAGGTGAGTCACTTATACCAATGTACTGTACAGGTGTTAGGTGAGTCACTTATACCAATGTACTCTACAGGTGTTAGGGAGAGTTACTTATACCAATGTACTGTACAGGTGTTAGGGAGAGTCACTTACCTATAGTATTGGTTGATTGCATGTGGAAGGCGTTGACGATGAAGGGCTGAACAGTAAACGCCCAGCTGGTGAGAACAACGAGTATATGGTAAGGTTGAGTCTTGGTAGGAAGGCTCTTTTATCCACCGATTATTATGTGACACCGTGCATGACCCAGAGAGCCTCCAGTGAGCCTATGAAATGGTCCAGTGAACCTAAAAATGATCCAGTGAGACTAAGAATGGTCCAATGAGACTAAGAATGACCCAGTGAGCCTAAGAATGACCCAGTGAGCCTAAGAATGACCCACTGAGCCTATGAAATGGTTCAGTTAGTCTACGAATGATCCAGTTAGTCTAAGAATGATCCAGTGAGTCTACGAATGAACCAGTGAAATTAAGAATGAACCAGTAAGTCTAAGATTGACTCAGTGAGGCTACGAATGACTCCATGAGCCTATGAGATATAACGTATAATTATGTTATTCTCTTAAGTTATAATTAACTAATATAATCCCTTCGCCCCAGTTCATGGTCTAGAATGAATCGTCTCACTAACCTAACCTCACTTACCCTAACCCAACACAACCCAACTTAACCCAACTTAAACACAACCCAACCCAACCTCACTTACAGACTGAACTCACATGAACGATCCTTTATCGATAGGTGTGTGGTAGAGGCGGTAGATGTCGACCCTGAACACCTGGTAGAGCTCCACCACGGCGTCTAGGAAAGTGAAGTTTGGCAGGAACCGAATCTGTGTGTGGAGGGAGAAATGGATGGAACCAGAGTTATTATGAGGATCTCTCTCTCTCTCTCTCTCTCTCTCTCTCTCTCTCTCTCTCTCTCTCTCTCCTACACGTTACCTCAGAGTGGGACTCGTTCACGTAAGAGATGTTCCAGTGACGGTCGTAAGCTCCCACCTCGGCCTGCAGTAAGTTCAGCTTCTCGAGGGCCACCACTTTGTCTTTTTTACTCATCCACTCTGAAGACCTAATCGACACCTCTACCTCCTCCCTCAGTAGCTCCAGCATCGACGCCGCCTGTAGAAGGGGAAGGAAGATGTAGGATGTTAGGTCTTGAGGGCGAGTGAAAGTCCAGAGATGCTCGGGAACATGATGGTGTGTGCTGGCTTCTCTTGCTGTCCATTTACAAGGAGATTAAATAAGGTTTTGATTTTTATAACACCTGGGAATCTTTAGCGTGTGACTCGCCGACCATGTATGTGACTCGCCAACCATGTCTGTGACCCGCCGACCATGTCTGTGACCCGCCAACCATGTCTGTGACCCGCCAACCATGTATGTGACTCGCCAACCATGTATGTGACTCGCCAACCATGTCTGTGACCCGCCGACCATGTCTGTGACCCGCCAACCATGTATGTGACCCGCCAACCATGTATGTGTCGCCAACCTGTGACCCATGTATGTGACCAACCATGTATGTGACTCGCCAACCATGTATGTGACTCGCCAACCATGTCTGTGACCCGCCGACCATGTCTGTGACCCGCCAACCATGTATGTGACCCGCCAACCATGTATGTGACTCGCCAACCATGTATGTGACTCGCCAACCATGTCTGTGACCCGCCAACCATGTATGTGACCCGCCAACCATGTATGTGACTCGCCAACCATGTCTGTGACTCGCCAACCATGTATGTGACCCGCCAACCATGTATGTGACCCGCCAACCATGTCTGTGACCCGCCAACCATGAATGTGTCCCGCTGCTATACACGTACAGTACAGAGATGTATTACACAGGGGTGGAGACGGAGTGTTTAACACAGGTACTCACGTGGGTGCGGATGTTGGTGACGGTGGTGTTGCCGATGTAGTGAAGGTACATGTTGGACATGACGTCCCCGAACACGCTCTTGGTGGCCTGCTGGCACCATGTGTACAGTTAGTGGGTATTATTATCACGCACACATATGCACAGTATACACAACACACACTTACAGTGGTACATGTACACCTAAGTGTATTTATATTTATGTAATTAAGTATACGCGCATACATACACAGGTGTGCAAGTACACACAGTTAGGTATGTATGTACAATATATTACACATAGATATGTATGTGTACATGTACCTCGGCATGTATGTACAGTCACGAGCCATAATAACGGGGACACATTGCACGACCGGGCGGTGAGGCAAGGTGACCTTTCTGGACGACGTCACCGCGACACGAACTAACACGCCAGACGACAGTTTGTTTCCGGCTAGGCACCACGGCAGAACTAGGAAGCCAGTAACATTCCACATGAACATTAGACCTTAATGATATTGATATTGAATATGAATCTGATAAATAATGATATAGGTGCAATCAGCTATGCATTGCCACAGCTGTATTGTCATTAATGAATTAAGAAAGAACTTCATGTTAAAGCAAAGTTACACTAACTGAAACATCAAAAACTTATATCACAAAGGTAATGTTGACAGGTAATATGTGATTTAAAGTTGGTGATCTGAGTAATACCACTCGTACATTACTGAGGTGTCTGGAGCACCGTGAGTGTTCAGTTAGTGCCTCTCTTTGGTACATCATATGGAGATGTCCTGACCTCTGGATTGTGGCACGTAATATGACCTAAATATCTACAAGAATATTATTACATATAGGTGTCCATATAATACTTAATAGAAACATATTTCACCTCACAATGTATAAATGAAGGTCCCATATTATTTGACTGCTGACGATAGTGTTAAATACCAAAACTATGTTACATTTGATAATCTTATCGGCATGATAACATAATGGGTCTCTATCACAAAATGTAAACATGGGCGTAGAGAGAGGGACTGGGGAGAAGGCGGGGATGGGTATGAGCCAAGGGTGGATGAGATCGAGCAGGGAAGTTAGGGAGACCTCGGGCGGGGATTGTGCGTGGAGTAGGAGACGAGGCATGAATGGAGGAAATATATCGCCATGAAATGAGTAAATTGTATAAGCCATCCTGTATATACAGTACCAAAAAGTGGGTTTTTTATGAAACATAAGAAACAGTAATGGTTGGCCTGGTGTCAAGCCACAGTGTTACAATAGGATACAAACTGAACACATGAGAACCTTGTCATTAAACCTTATTACTTGTATTAAAAGGCTATATTTATCGAGCTGTATAAATGGAAGTCAGGGTTAAACAAAGGTGATATAACAAAGGTACTCAAACTATCCAACCAGGAGTGAACTCGTAACAATGGTTTTAAATTAGACAAATTTAGATTTAGGCTCGAGATAGGTAAACATCGGTTTAGAAATAGAGTAGTGGATGAGTGGAACAAGTTACCAAATATCATCATTAACTCGAATATGCTGGATAGCTTCAAACATAGGTTGGACGGATATATGAGCGATAGGGGTTGGGTGTAAATGGGACTGCCCATTATGGACCAATAGGCTCGCTGCAATTTCCTCAATTCATGTGTTCTTATGTTGTGTTCCGTTGTATAATAACATTATCATAAAACGGTACTCAAATAATACCATACGAAATCTGAAATAGTAGATACTCTATCTCTCTCTCTCGCTCTACCACTGAATCTTGGTGTATGTGTGTTAAAAGTAACTGCTTTGTGGTGCCTCTCTCTGGAGAATCTGGTAGATGAGGAAGGGGGGAGGGCAGGGGGGGTGTTGTTGGTGAAATATACGGTATACTATACTGTATGTGTTTGCATTTTGTGGTAACATCCGATATATTATCATGTGGATAAGATGCTGAACAGCGGAACAGCTATGGGGTATCATTATACTATGACCAACAATGAAATAGTGTTAAAGTGTGACGTCATTATTTTTCAAATTTTATATTTTTGTTCTGTGATCCTAATGATCACATAAGCGTCCTTTTATATCAATATATGCAAAATTTCGGATATAGTCTGTTTTTACAGTCCACAAATTCCCCATACAAAGTTTTTAACTTCAGCATTGGTACAAAATAGTTTGAACCAGGCATAAATTAAAAGGGTTTGTATGGGATTGTTTCAACCTTTCATTACCCATATACCGGTCGTTTACCCCTCTACTGACCCCATATTTTCTAGAGGTCTATTAATTTGTCCTTCTGAAAAGTTAATCCACTTAACAGATTCCCGAAAATATATATATTTGTGACGTCATCACAATAATAAGGGACTTTCATAGGTGGTTCACGTGTTGACGCATCAAAAGGTGGCATTTGTTTCCAGTCGGTATTAAGAGGATAACTCTTTAGTAAACTCTAGTACTAGTTAATATAACATCTCCATATAAGATTTCACGCAGAGGCACCAACTTCACACTCACGACAAACACTAATCTTTTCATTGTGATATTACTTCCAACACCAGCTGTTAATGACAAATTACAGTAGTTGGTAATATTACTGAAATTATATATTATTATTGACGTTTTACTTAGCTCACCTTCGTTTTATAATTTTCTCAGGGCATTAATGGTAATACGGAAGCAGCAATGCACTGCTGAGTAATAAGAGCATATATTGCACCTGTATAATTAATTTTTAGTATTATAATCAATATTAATATTATCAGTAATATTCCTATCGAGCGTCACAAGCTCTGTGCGTGGTGCCGAGGTGGAACTGGCGGAAAAACATGTATCCTGTAGATGTAATGTCAAACTGGATAAGCCTCTATCGCAGTGAGCTGTCGTCCAGAAAGGCCAGCTAGCCTCACTTCTCGTCCAGCAAGGTGCCCTCGTCACCATTATAGCTCATGACTGTACACATACTTCAGTATGGAGGTACACAATCTTACGTAAAAATATATAAGCACACTGTACAGTACACATGCACTTAACAAAGAATATACAAGTACACTTACTGATGTATGTGCTTACAGTCTACACTTTGGTATTTCCGTATACACAGTCTTCGGTGTACTGTACATGTACTGTACACAAGTACATAAATATATGTGTACACTTATGCTTTAACATACCATGTATACATATACTTAATAAATTTGTTCACATAAACATATATAAACTTGCATATCCCCCACACACCTCACCCCACACACACCTCACCCCCACACCTCACCTCACGCCTCACCTCATCCCCACACCTCACCCCCACACCTCACCTCACACCTCACCTCACTCCATCCCCACACCTCACGCCTCACCTCATCCCCCCACACACACACACACACACCTGGCTCCATCCACACACCTGAAGGCAAAAGTCGTTTTGGTCGGTGTCGAGAGATGGAGACCGTCTCTAACAACACGTCAGATGTAAACAGTCAGCAACGTAGTGGACCACCCTGTAGGGGGATGGTCACCAGCTGCTACTGAGATGTGTCAAGGTGGTGGTGGGTCTTCGGGTCACCTTAAACACCCAGATGAAAACCTAACCTAACCTAACCTAACCTAACCTTTGCCTAACCTAACCTAAACCAGATGAAAAGGTTTATACAGTGTTATTGACATATGTTGAGACGGCACGTAGTAACAAGAGGATTTTTTTTATAAAGTTGTCTCGCATGAATGTTGTTGATGTCATTAAATATCGTTCACTAGACAGTTTTTAACAAGGGATCATTTTTGACTCAATTGGTACAGATCATCATAGAGTTATCATTATATCCTGAAATAATCCTGCCCAAGTGTCCTGACCCTCACTACACACACTGAATCACTGAAAACTTGTATTGGTCAGTGTTTCGCGGTGAGGTCAGCAGAGAGAGCTCAGGTTCTCAACTGGCTCAGCCACGTTAATATTGTTATTATTATCCACTCTGTATCTGTATTTTTCTGGCTAAATAAACTGTTACAATTCAATTCAATTCAGATGTGAAGCAGACTAGACAATGGCAATGTTATTTTTACTCATTATAATCTACTGATAACCGTGGTAACATTCTGAGATGTTCTCATTACCACCATGCTATGTGTACTATTCTAGATGATACTAAGTGTTACATAATACCTCCTTGAGATAAATGTACAGTATATATCAGGTGCCTAAAAGAGAGCCCAGGTTCTCAACTGGCTCAGCCATGTTAATATTGTTATTATTATCCACTCTGTATCTGTGTTTGTTTTTTTTTTGGCTAAATAAACTGTTTCAATTCAATTCACTAGGTACGGACAAAACCGCCTCATTTAAAGTGGAAAATCGGTTCGGTTAGGTTAGGTATTGCAGCCTTATGATATAATAAATGTAATATTTTACATGTCAGTAAAATATATTCATAAACTGTAAATAATAAAGAATAAAAATAAGTATTTAAAGATTCTGATTTTTATTATTTATCTTAAGGGGCTTTTGTCCGACACTCAAGACCTCACACACACACACAGTACAGTACCATAAACACTCGTTAACCGAATTGTAAACACAGACATAAACCATAACATCTCACTTAAACTCTACTTAATTGGATACTAATTTATTTAACTACTAAGCATATATAACTCATTTGGGGAACCTGAAGTGAGTACACCCATTCGTCTCTCATAGGAAGAATGTTAATGATAGTCTGAGATCAAGGTTACTGCTTTATGACGTTGTGGTCGGGTATTGTAGGAGTGAGGAGCGTCGACACTACCAGCAGACTACAGGAGGGGGTTGATATACACTGCTGCTACAGGAGGGTTGTCGACGGTGACTTATGGTGATGGAACAACAAATTAAAGTGTACAGTACATAAATTGGCTGCAATAACGAGATCCCACCAGGCCCACTCGATTGATCTCACTCATTAGGTTACACACGTTAGGTTCACACTCACTAGGTTCATACTCGCTAGGCCCACTCACCAGGGGGGTAGGTCGTGGAGGAGGGATGAGAGGCTCTTGAGATAGTCTGGAAAGTACACGTAGATGTTGTCCTCGTCAGTGATGCTCTTATTAAACAGCTCCCGCAGCAGGTAACCCCACTCTACCTGGGGGCGAGGGGGAGAGAGTTAGTACACAGCCCTCACTCTACCTGGGGGCGAGGAAGAGAGAGTTAGTACACAGCCCTCACTCTACCTGGGGGCGAGGGGGGGGGGTACTAATATGTCTGCAGGAGGTGGTACGTACCGCGGGGAAGTCTTGCTGCAGCTGGGGTAAAGTGTAGTGGTTGTAGAGGTCCCCGTGTTGCTCTGCCTTTAACTCCTCTCTCTCGTCCGGATGAATCTGTTCCAACACAATAGTATATTAGGCCATTATGTTACATCATTGTTCTATCTTTTACGATGACTTCTTCATTAACACAAGAATAAAGTAGTTTCACACGAGTTGTTATGGAGAATTGTTGTTCAAGTTTGTTTTTTAAAAGTTTGATGCAGTGGAGAGGTCGCCTGGACTCCTCTGCTCTTCATCCACTAAAGCTCAACATAACTCTGATGAACTCTTGCTGAAATGTTGATAAATTCGTGTTTCTTTTATGGAGATTGTCAGATGTGAACACACTGGATACGACATGTTGGTGGCTCCCAAGACAAGTTAAGTTGTGTTGGTGGCTCCCGGGACAAGTTAAGAGGTGCTGGTGGCTCCCGGAACAAGTTAAGACGTGTTGGTGGCTCCCGGGACAAGTTAAGACGTGTTGGTGGCTCCCGGGACAAGTTAAGACGTGTTGGTGGCTCCTGGGACAAATTAAGTCGTGTTGGTGGCTCCTAGAACAAGTTAAGATGTGTTGGTGGCTCCTGGGACAAATTAAGACGTATTGATGGCTCCTAGAACAAGTTAAGACGTGTTTGTAGCTCCCAGGACAAGATAGATCACGAGGGTGCTCCACAACCCACCTGAAACAACGCTGTCAAAAAAGTCGAGGTGACGATTGAGAGAATTTCCTCGGTGGTGAGGTTGGCTGGATGGTCGTCGGGCGGAAGGTAGTCGTCTAACAGGGGGACGTCGAACAGCTGGGTAGTGTTGCTGTGGGTCACTAAGTCCAGCATCACCTTGCTTATAGCCTCGAGTCTCTTCATCTCTTGGTTGTCCTGGGAAAAAAAAATATGTTTTAACTGTGTATCTATGTAAAGACTAAATGTGGGTCCCATCTAAGTGGTGGGTGGACCAGGTGTAGTAAATCATTTAAGTGGTGGGTGGACCAGGTGTAGTAAATCATCTAAGTGGTGGGTAGAACAGGTGTAGTAAATCATCTAAGTGGTGGGTAGAACAGGTGTAGTAAATCATCTAAGTGGTGGGTAGAACAGGTGTAGTAACTCATCTAATTGGTGGGTAGAACAGGTGTAGTAACTCATCTAATTGGTGGGTAGAACAGGTGTAGTAACTCATCTAATTGGTGGGTAGAACAGGTATATAATCAGCATAACTGCCTGTATACTAAGCCTTCAGTATACAAGGTGGCAGCATGGCCGGCTCTGCACTCGACCTCCTTCACTATCCTAACTTTCTAAAATTCGGTACCCATTAACAGCTGGGTGGACTACAAGTGCCCTGAGATCGAATCAACGACATGTAGAACAGGAAGCTAGTTCTGTATCTATTCGGCCGCCGCACACCTTATCAGTGAACACAAGATTAATACTTTAGTAACAATGGTTGAAGATGACACTCAAACATTCTCCCCTTGTTATTCCTCGACCTAAACATCAGACTTTGAAAGACACGGACTAGATTATACTGAGGCCACGATGATGACAGACAGACACCAGCTACATTGGATCACCTGAAGATTAACCCCGGCGTATACTTCACCTAATGATTAAACAACCTAACTGCAACTGGAGGAGTTAAATTAGGTTGGGTCAGTTAGTTCAGGTTCGGTTAACTTAGGTAAGATTAGGTTAGGTTAGATTTGGGTAGATGAGGTTAGGTCAAGTTAGATTGGAATAGGTTTATTTAGATTAAATTAGATTAGGTTAGGTTAGGTTAGCATCAGCATCATCAGGTGGAATGAGGTGCAAGGGTAGGGGTGGTTAGGTTAGGTTAGCATCATCAGGTGGAATAAGGTGCAAGGGTAGGGGTGGTTATCATCAGGCAAAATCATCCCACCATCTCACCTTAAACACCTGGTAGACTTCTTTCCGACTCACAGCCATAATACTGAACATGTCGTCCTCGCCTTCTTCGTCTGGGGAGGAGAGTGACTCGTGTTAATTATTTCCTTTACAGAATCTTCATGTACCAATCCCTAACCTAACTCCTTTGTCAGCTGCGGGGAGTCACGTGTGTAGTGTTCAATCTCTACCAGAAGTCATTATCCCCTACCAGTGGTGTCACATAGTCATTATCCCCTACCAGTGGTGTCACATAGTCATTATCCCCTACCAGTGGTGTCACATAGTCATTATCCCCTACCAGTGGTGTCACATAGTCATTATCCCTACCAGTGGTGTCACATAGTCATTATCCCTACCAGTGGTGTCACATAGTCATTATCCCTTATCAGTGGTATCACATAGTCATTATCCCCTACCAGTGGTGTCACATAGTCATTATCCCCTACCAGTGGTGTCACATAGTCATTATCCCTACCAGTGGTGTCACATAGTCATTATCCCTACCAGTGGTTTGTTTTATTGTTTATAACTATTTACTATTAGAATCTACGTCACTTAATGGTGAATGGAACAGGTGTAATAAATGAATGGGGAACAGGTGTAATAAATCATCTAAGTGGTGGGTGGACAGGTGTAATAAATCATCTAAGTGGTGGGTACATAAAATCATCTAAATGGTGGGTGGAACAGGTGTAATAAATCATCTAAGTGATGGGTGGAACAGGTGTAATAAATCATCTAAGTGGTGGGTGGACAGGTGTAATAAATCATCTAAGTGGTGGGTGGAACAGGTGTAATAAATCATCTAAGATTCTAAGTGGTGGGTGGACAGGTGTAATAAATCATCTAAGTGATGGGTGAAACAGGTGTAATAAATCATCTAAGTGATGGGTGGAACAGGTGTAATAAATCATCTAAGTGATGGGTGGAACAGGTGTAATAAATCATCTAAGTGATGGGTGGAACAGATGTAATAAATCATCTAAGTGATGGGTGGAACAGGTGTAATAAATCATCGAAGTGGTGGGTGGACAGGTGTAATAAATCATCTAAGTGGTGGGTGAACAGGTGTATAGTCATCATCACAAGAACTTCAGATCCAGAGCATAATCATGTGTCCCTCCCAACACTGACTCACCTTCTCTGAGTTCTTTGGCTAAAGCGGGCATTTACTTACATTCTTCCAACTCCGCTGTAGCATCGAGGCTGTCTGCTGGCGAGGTAGTGGTGATGGGTGTGTGTGTGGTAGTGCTGGGTGTGTGTGTGGTAGTGCTTGGTGTGTGT